ATTATAAAGTTACAAATAATATTATAGGTAGAAAGGAACTTTGATACATTAATGTCATTAAATGAATAAAAAGATTCTAAGCCTTCATATCCTATCTAATATCTTAAATTCTATTGAATTAGCTCATAAATAACGAAATTCTAATGATGAACATAAACTTTCAGATAAAAATTACATAACATTGTACACTTAGGCTATGTTTGATAACTTGAATATTTAATGGAAAAGGAAAACTTTTTCCTTTTTTACCCTTAAAAAGTTGTTTGACAGGTAAAATTTGGCATGAAAAAAATTCCCCCCCCCCCCCCACCCCACACGCGCCCTTTTTCCTTCTTTTAAGGGAATTCATTTTCCCACCTTTTTGGTGGAAAAATGAATTCCAATTTTGGTCCTTTTTTTAATTTTTATTTATTTATTTTGGTAATGGTAACAAATTTAATAACAAATTGTAAAAAAAAAATCATTTTAATGGACAATTTTCATGTAAAATGAAATCAAACGAACACTAAACTTGATGAAAAATGGTGAAAAAATAGTTTTCGAGCAAACTTTTTTTTTTTTTTTTTTTTTGGCAATGGTAACAAATTTCATAACAAATTGTAAAAAAAAAAAAAAAATATAATTTTATGAACAATTAATAAAAANTTAATGAACAATTTCTATATAAAATAAAGCCAAACGTAAACAAAAAGATCCAAAATTTTAAAATTTTTCAGGTGGAAAATTATACCAATCAAACTAAATTAACAATTCCCTGAAAAACAAGTTCTAGACAATTATTTTCTCTGAAATTCATTTTTTTTCCACCTATTTTCTACATTTACAATCAAAAGGATCCTTAGAAGTCCTACATTGCTTGCTCATATAAACTATCAAATATCGAAAGCTACTATTCTATGATTCAAGAGTCGGTAAGATTTCGGCGTAAACAAAAGCTGAAATCATCAAGGTCCCACATTATTGATTCTAAATTTCAAAGGACATGACACAAATATGGTTAGAGCATTTAAGATTGATACAAGGCAAACAAAAATGTGGCTGTTCAAGGGTTGGTTTTAAATAGTTTGCATTAATTAAGGAATCAGTTTGTTTGGACAAATGAGAAGCTGACAGTGGGAATCTTAAAATGTATATAAGGTTAGGTAGTTAGAATGGCCAAAATTGTAGCCACGTCCGCGGCCGAATATGGGTGTAGCTTAGCCATAAACTATGGTTAGGTATGGCTACTGTCTATTTCTTGTGAAGTTTCGCTTTGATATTTTTCTCATTTTTAGGCTTCTGGAAGCTTTTTATTTATTTATTATTTTTTTGTTTGGGAGAATTTCGAAAGTTGTATAGGAATGGGCGGGGTAGGGTTGGTTTGCCTCCCTCGTCTTCCATCCCGCTGGAGATTTTTGGGAAGTAGGACATAATTAAAATATATCTGTTTATCACCTCGTTTACATATATGGTTTATTTCTAATACTATTCTTGACATTTTTAAATACGATTGAAATTTTAAAAATAAAATAAAAGTTGGGATGGGTTCGGGATCATATTCCCATCCCCGTCCTATGCCCCACGGGGGGATCCGTGCCCATATTCCGGGAGGAGGGGGAATGTCAAGGTATTTGCATCCCTAAGTTGGATTTTGTAAATAGGGTAAATTTTGGGGGTGGACACTGAACTTGTAGTAAAACTTAAATTGGATCATTTAAGTTCAATTTGTTTCAAATTGTATCATGCTATCACGTGTCATCTACAAGAAAAAAGTTGTAGAGAGGCATCTAGGACATTAGGCTAGTTCACCATCTTAGACATTAGTTGATTGTTTATTTATTGCGGGATGTTGTTATGTAAAGAATATAGAGAAATCATATAGTCGACTCGTTGTTAAAAATAATTTTATTGCGGATGCAAAAATCGAAACAAGGAGCTTGCAGATGTCAAAAGAGAATGTTTCGATTGTTTTAATGGGAATGGTAAAATTTTAGGGTGCATTCTTTCAAGAAATTATACAATATGAAAGCTTGACAATAATCACACATCCATACAATGATGCTAGCTTGGCGTCTTCAATAAATGTGGTGATTTGAGCATAGTAATTTCTCTTAGTTTAATTGTTTATCTTCAAAAGAGCAATTTATAAATGAAGTTTTTATTGAGATTTAGAAACAGCGATTCTAATATTCCACCGAGAGCGATCAATCGCAAAAGGAAATAAAGACATGCAATAGAGATTTGTCGCAGTGTGAGATTGCGCTATCTTCTGCTGCTGCAATAATTCACTATGATGAAAAATGTTTATAAAAGAAAATTGCACAACCTATTTTCTCTAATCTCTCTCTCTTTTATGATGTTAACATATAAGTTTAATGACGGCTCCCTATTTACAAGACAAATTAGGACAAAATCAAACTTTACAAATACTTAAATTCCTTGGAAGAAATTTACATGGACACAAATTCCTAAACTACCTGCAATGAAATTTTAGTTCGGTGTGCACCCCCGGGAGGAGAGCTTCCTACCCGTCTTCCAACCCCTACGATGATCTTACAACGGGTGGCACCTTATATCTTGTTTGACACATTCCTTCTCCTTAGCTGGGCCATGAACTGCGTCCCGCAAAGGTTGATCCACGTACTGTCTCCATGGAGCAACAATAATTAATTTTCACAACTTAACGATTTGTGAGTAAACAAGGTGAATAAAGGTTATTGTAGTTAGTTTTTATTTAATACAGTTGAATTTTGTTATTATGCTAAGAATCAAAATACTTTTATTTTATTTTAAAATAAAAGTACTATTTTAGTTCTACGGTAATGACTCATATGTTGGATATCTTAGACTCAATGGAAATAGAGAAATGGATGATGTACTCCTTGATAGCCCCCTCGCAAAGGGGCAGGGTTAACAATTTTAAAAATCACGGGCCTCACCCCCTATGTAAGGAGGTTGTCAAGTTGAGTGTACACCTTGGTCTCAGCATTATTCATGGAAATATCGCTTTATTTGAAAAGTAATATTGATGGTTAAGATTGTTACTGAAAAAAACTTATAATGGTAATTGTAAACATCACCAAAAGGTAGCAACAAGATCATGAACCCAAATTCTTTATATGTTCTCCGATTTGCCATTGAACCTCTGAAGCTTTCCTAGCCACTATCGTCATTTTTTATCTTCTTTATCACAAAATAGGTTTAGTTTGCTTGATCTATGAAAATGTCTACCGAATTTTCTTTTATTCATCAAAGTCCATCCTAATCCCAGTCAAGATTATTGCCTTACGTCTATCATACTATTTGTATAATGAAGTTCATAGTTTATTGACGGATTTTTCCTTTCTGAGGTATTCCGAAGGAATTGTAACCTAGGGAACAAAAAAGGGCTTGAGACGTTCTTCAACTAAATGAGCGACCAATTGGTTCACCAAACTCCCAACGTCACGCGGTCTCCAGGTTTGAAAGATAATGTCTCTAATTTTCTCAAGTTTAATTACATCGAACCCATAAGTTTGCGTGCTTTAAGTTTTAAGTTATGCCTTTAGGCTTTTTTTTAAAGCTTCCGAATTAGGCGTATGTTTAGTTTAGATTTTTAACAAATAAAATTGATAAAAGTTGGTAGCTTTTTAGCAAAAAAAAAGTAACTTTACCAAATGAACATTAAGATACGAGGGGAAAAAAAAAAGATAACAAAAATCGAGTAGGAGACATTGTTAGTGAGTTATCGCAATTTTATATATAATCAATAATAGCTAGCTAAGAGTTAACTTAGTCAACAATAACGAGCTAAATCTTCATAAGAGATAATACAACTAACTAGAAGATAAAATACAAAGTTATTGAAAATCTTTCCTAACTATGATAGATTAAAAATGGCTGATTAGCACAAAACGTCCCCACCTTTGAGGTCTATTGTGGAAAATGTCCAAAATTTCATTTTGTGGTGCAAAACGTCCCTACCTTTTCCTTTTGTAGCGCTCAACGTCCTTTT